GAAGGCAGATCTCTGAGTTCAGGCCAGCCTGTCTACACTAGTTCCAGGGTAGCCAGGGCTACCAAAAAAACCCTGTCTCAGAAACAAAACAAAATAAATACATAAAATGAATACACAGTAGTCAGAGAAAACAAGCTTTGCTGAAACGTAGGAGTCAAAATTGCTGCATTTTTGTTGTCGGTTGTTTTTTTTGCTCTTTTGGGGGACCTGCTACCCAGCTCCCAAATAAACCACACATGGAGACTCATTATTATAAATGCCCGACCTTAGCTTGGCTTATTTCTAGCCAGCTTTTCTTGTCTACCTTTTGCCTCTGGGCTTTTTCCTTTTCTTACTTCTGTAATTTTACTTTCACTCTTACTCCATGGCTGGCTGTGGCTGGGTGGCTGGGTGGTTGGGTGGCTGGGTGGCTGGGTGGCTGGGTGGCTGGGTGGCTGGGTGGCTGGCCCCTGATGTCCTCATCCTTGATCCCTCTTGCTCTTTTCTTTTCTTCCCAGATTTCTCCTCCTATTTATTCTCTCTGCCAGCCAGCCCTACCTATCTTTCTCCTTCCTCACTATTGGCCATTCAGCTCTTTTTTAGACCATCAGGTGTGTAGACAGGCAAAGTAACACAGCTTCACAGAGTTAAACAAATGCAACATAAAAGAATGCAACACATCATTGCATCATTAAACAAGTGTTCCACAGCATAAACAAATGTAACACATCTTAAAATAATGTTCTACAACACTTTTCTATGTGGTTTTACTTTTTATTTTAAAGGTGGTTTTGAGACAAGGTCTCAGCTTGTACCTCTGACAGGCATGTAATCACTACGTGGCTTGGATTAGCCTCAAATGTACATGATGCTGGTGCCCCAGCCTCCTGAGTCCCACAGGATTACAAGCCCGAGGCACCATGCTCTGATTGCTTCTCTTTAACACATTCAATAGCAAGTTCCAGCAGCAGGTCTAATGTTTAACATGATTTAGAAGGAACAAGAAGTCACACAGCAGTCATAAAAAGATGCGGGTCTGTCGGTGTGAGAGCCTTCATATCAACTTCTAGGACAGCAAGGAAGGGTTACATAGTGAGGCAATGTTAGGATTCTGCCACTCCTCCAGCTGCATGACCGCACATGCGCAGTTCAGGAGCTAAGTAAGGGGTCTTATGTTTTACATCATCTGTGTGCTGCGTGATTACATAATGCGTGTGGCGTGGTCATTCAATCCGCACATGCGTGGCATAGCTCCGTAAGCCCACATGCGCATGTGCAGGGAAATCCTTAAAAAGCCGGACACAGACTCTTCCCCTCTCTTCTGCTCTCTCCTCCTCCTCATGTGTCTCTTCCAGAGGCCTGGTCGCTCTCTTCTGCACCCCCCCCCCCCCACACACACACAATAAAGCTCTGGTACTAGATTTTATCGTGCCTCAGGACCTTTCCTCGAAGAGTAAAAGTGTCGTATTTAAAACCAACAGTCCTCTTCCAAAACCATAAAATATAAAATAAATTTCAGTTTGGGTTATGTGTCCCACTTTTACAGACCAAGTGTGGCTCAGAGAATCCAGCCGAACTACAAAGCTGGGGGTTCACGTCCACCGAGTTCTGGCTCAGAACAGAACAACAAATCCAGCAGTACGGCACTCCACAAGCCAAAATGGCCGTCCAGTACTCCAGGATGCCCTGGGTTCCTACCTCTGGGGCTCATCTGGGTCTGCAGGCTAAAAGGTCTGAGCACAGCCCTGGAAAGAGAACCCAGCATGTATGTGCTCCTGGTCCTGAACTGTGTGGATTAACTGTCAATGATTGCTGAGACTGTGGTCAAATTCCTGGAACAATCACTAGAGTCTAGAGTCCAGGCCCCGGGGGTTGTGGAAGATTAACTCACTCAAGGAAGAACTTCCTGGCTGTGCACACAGAGAAACCTGCAGGAGCCTCACCAAGATTGACATCACCCCCAATACCTGCTTTCTCAAAAACAAAGAGAAAAGGATGCATGGGCACGCACCCCCACCCACTTCCCATCCCCAGCTACCTCTCACACACTAATTTGTTAGTCTCTGGTGTTCCCTGCAACCTTTGGGCATGAAATGTCTTTTTCTGCAGGGCTGTGGCTGCTGAGAGCCTGAGACCTGGAAGACTTTCATTTTTTTCATGGCTTCTGGAACAAATCACCTCAGACTCAGAGCTGACAACAACTCAATGTTGATCTTGTTGAAACTGGGTGTCAGAAGTCTCAAGTGGGTCCTTCTGAAGGCTAAGGGGAGAATCCCCTTCCTGGCCCCGGGCTTCTGGACGCTTTCTCACTCTCTGGCCCCTGTGTCAGCTGACCCCCTCCTTGGTCTTCTGCTTGGCCTTACACTGGGCTCACCTGAACAGTACAGATTGACCTCTTCTTGTTAGGATCCTAATCACATCTGACAAGCCCCTTTCCTGGCTAACAGAGGCCACAGGTTCCACGGATTAGCACGGAGCCTTCTTTGGGAGACTGTCAACAACAGTCTGAGGCAGGCTCCTTCCCTGCCTCCAAGGGAGCTTGCTGTGGGCTCTTTGCTGGGAATTGCCAGGGCTCGTGTTCTGATCCAGGCAACATGACTGATGCCTTCAGTTCACTTCCTACCATTCCTCAGCTCTGCTGAGACAGCAAACCACTAAGGTTATTTTCACTAGAGGCTCCTCTCCTCAGTAGACAGGAATCTTGGGGGACTTCAGGAGGGAAGGGCTGATTTGGGCTCACCATTTGAGGTTACAGTTATAGCAGGGAAAGGAAAATGTTTCTGCACCCCGATAAGCCTCTCCACTGACGCAGCAATCCAGATCAGACCAAAGGAGACTAAATTGAGAAAAAGCCCATGTTTAATGGGTAAAATGCTCCCAGATGAGTTTCCAGGCCCCCAGAGAGGGGACAGGGAAAGAGAGACCAAAAAAGCAGTTTGAATACACTATGGGAGTGGTCTTGAGCATCTCTGGGGGAGGAGCCATGTTTGGCAGGACTTTCTGAGATGAGGCAGGGTTTGAGGAGAGAGAGATGGGGGAGGGGGCTTGAAGTGGAGCTTCCACCAGAACATTCCAGACTCTTTGGGTATGGGGGTGCCAGGGGCTGAGGTGGAGCTTCCATCAGAACAGAAAGCGCAGGCAAGAGTCACGCTATGCTTGCAGTCAGGAAGCAGGGAGGTGATGCCGACATTCAGCTCATTTTCCCCTTTTCACGCAGGCTAGGACTCAAGCCCGTGCAGCGGCACCGCCCACATTTAGAGTGGATTTTACCCCCTCAGTTAACCAGCCTAGAAAACCCCCTAGAGCTTGTCTTCCGGTTCACTCCAGATCCTGGTTCACGCCAGGTTGACAAACCACAACAGGTGAATACTTTAAAGTATTCACCCTCAAGCCTGGCCTGAGCCCAAGGTGTTGTATCACTTTTGACTCCAAGGAAACATTTCCGCCCTGGTCCCAACAAATTGTGAGCATGTCTGTTTTTCCCAAGAAACAGTTAAACTCTCAGCTCCTGGGATTGGCCTGTACTTGTTTTTCATTAAAGAAAGCCTCCACTCTGAACAATCTTTATTTAAGCCTTTCTTTAGATCTAGGCTGGAGGTGGCTGATATGCCAAGACCAGAAGTTGTAAGACCAGTTTGAACACTTCTTAAGTCTTGCATGAATGGTCTTGCACCTTTCTAAGGTGTGTGTGTGTGTGTGTGTGTGTGTGTGTGTGTGTGTGTGTGTGCGCGCATGGAGTGATTCTCTTTGGGGGTTGCCTAAGACCATTGGAAAACTCAGATATTTACATTATGATCATAACAGTAGCAAAATCACAGTTATGAAATAGCAACAATAATAATTTTATGGTCGGGGACACCACCACATGAGGAACTGTGTTAAAGGGCCACAGCTTTAGGAAGGTTGAGAACCACTTTTCTAGACCAAGATAAAAGTGACCAGGAAAATGAATAAGACAGTCCAGATTGCAAACAAACATTTCCCCTAGGCTAGGAAGCTGACTCAGCAGGTAAAGGGTCTACCACACAGTATGAGGACTTGCATTTCATCCCTAGAATCCAGGTGGGGCATGGGTGTAAGCCAGTACCGGGTGGTCCCCTGCAGTTTGCTAGTCAGCCAGTCAGCCAAGCCCTAACAACTGTCGACCCCAGGTCCCAGGTCTTGGTGAGAGACACTTTCCAAAAACACAAGGTAAGCGCTGGGGAGATGACTCAGTGTAATAAAGGGTCACTATGAAAGCATGAGGATTTGATTGGGGTCCCAGCACCCATGTCAAAAGTCAGCATGGTAGCACTCACCCACAACCCCAGTACCAGGGATGTGGAGACAGGCGGATCCCTGGAACCTGCTGGCCAGCCGGCCTAAGTAAGGGAGCTTCACATTCAGTGAGAGCCCCTATCTCAAAAAAGTAAGGTGGAAAGTGATGAAGAGGGATACCTGGTGTTGACCTCTGGCCTATACATAGATGCATACACATTTGCACATGCACCCTCACACACAAGAGCATATAAACAACACACACACAAACAAAAGTGAAGGGACCCTGAGGAATGACACCTGAAGTTGACCTCTGGCCTCTTCATGCATGCTCACTCAAGTACATGCACACCTACACACACACACACACACACATTCTTTCTCTCCTCATCAATTATAAACCTTCACAGGAAACCTTGCTCCAGTCCATCATGACACTCTGGCCACCTGAGCAGGAATCAGCATTTCACAGGGGAAGCCTCACCTCGAGACATACCTGAATTGACACAAGGAGCCAACAATGCTGATTGGCCCTCAGCGTGAATAGTGCCAGGCGGGCCTGGGAGTTTGGTCTATATGCCCACTCTTTGTTCAGACTGCTATAACAAAACACTATGGGCTGAGCAACTTACAAATAGTAGAAATTTATTGCTCACTGTTAAAGAGCCTAGAAATCCAAGAATATGGCACTACCAGATTTCACACCAGCCGGGGGCTGCTTTCTGGCTCACCTTCTTGCTGTATCCTCACATGGTGGAGGGTTGAGTTCCTAGGGTCTTATTATAAGGATACCAGTCCCATATGAGGGCTTCGCTCCCACGAGATAATGACTTCCCAAAAGCCCCCTTCCTCACTCCATCTTCACTGGGGAGGCTGGGAATTTCAACCTATGGGTGGAGAGGACACCAACTCCCAGGCCTAGCACCTGCCATGCAGGCAGGGTACAGCCAGCTGACCCTCTGAGACAGGGACCACAGCCAGAGTGACACCTTCTTTGACTTCAGCAGCTGGCAAGACAATGGAGGCATTAGGTGAGTTCCTCAAGTTGGGAGGCCTCTGTTCTTGCCTGGAGCAAACAGCAGATGCCTTACCCAGGATCTATGAAAGTGTAAACCAAAGCTGCCACCTGTCCTCTCCTTTCATAGTGCTAAGGGCCCCAGGGGCACTCTGGAGCCTTGTGCCTCAAGGGAACCAGAATAAAAAGTTGCCTTGTGTACAGGTGTGGGTTGAGCTGGGAGGGATAATCCTGCCTTCTTCTCTACCCTGGCTGTGACCCGGCTTTCCCTCTACACCACCTGGCCTGCGTGGAGACCCAGGGGAAGGTTACAGATACCACAGTAAGCTTCTGAGACGGCTCAAATGCTGTCCCTCTGGAAACTGGAAAGCTTCCATAACACCAACAGGTTGTCCTTGAGCAGCTGCCCCTCCATAGCTGGGCACCAAGCGACCAAACACATGAGCCTACAGGATTTCTCACACTCAGACCATGACTAATGGGATTTTCCCAATGAACTGGTCAAGGCTACAAAGTCATACTTACAGACTTCAAGGATGGAAAAACATTGACCTCTGATTTAGCAAATGCAAGCATATTTCCAGCAAACCATTCATTTATTTCAAGGATGTCCAGGGGCTGGGGACATAGCTCACTTAGTAAAGTGCTTGTCACAAATGAGCTCAGTCCCCATGGTGGTGCACCTGTAACCCCCGTCCAGGGGAAGCCAAGACAGGAGGGTCCCGGAAGTGCTCACACGTCAGTCTAGCAGAGCTTCAAGCTCGGTGAGAGAGTCTGCCTAAAAAAATAAAATAAAAGAGTGGATATCAAATAAGGAAGACACCTGACTTTGACTTCTGGCCTACATTGTCACATTCTCTCTCTCTCTCTCTCTCTCTCTCTCTCTCTCTCTCTCTCTCTCTCTCTCTCTCTCTCTCTCTCTCTCTCAGGAATGAGGAGAAAAGGAGTACCTACCTTGAGAGTAGCCTGGTTTGTTTAGTTTAGTTTTCCACTGTTCAGCACAGCTGGATGGGAACAAAAATCTAGAACTGCCTGTCCCCCAAGGGAGCGCTGATTCTTTTTCCTCCTTATTACTGGGGGTAGAGTGGTGGCCTAGTATGTTGAGGAGAGACTGTAGTTGTGCTTACTCTGTAGGGGGTTCCACATAGCTCAGGCCAAGAAGGCTGGTCCCATGAGGAAGCTGAACTCTTGTAGCTTCTCAGCACAAGCACATAGGCCCAGTGACCAGCACTAAGCAAGCAGGTGAGACACATCTCCAAACACCTGAGCACAGCTCATGACTGATGCCTTTGTACCAAGTGCCTGGGGGTAACATGAGGGACGCCAGGATGCTACACCAATAGTAACAGCCTTGATAATAACCATAATAGGCTGGCACCAATAATAATAGGTCACAGGTGTCCAGCATTACACCAGTAGTAACAGCCTTGATAATAACCATACCAATTGTATTGGCTGGCACCAATAACAATAGGTCACAGGTGCCCGGCATTGTGACAGCTCTCTATTTCTTACGTTTTAGAATCCCCACTGAATCCCTGCTACCACAGAACAGTTTTATTGTTACTACCAGTGGTCACCATTTGATAAGCATTACTGTGTAATAAGCCTTACTGTCCTTTTCTCATTTTCCACAAACAGCACCCCTATCAGGCTGAGTACCATTATCAAATGAAGATCAGTAAAATTATGATGGGATCACCCCACTGTTAGAGATCAAAGCTAGGTCTGCTTCTGAGGCTTCTGAGCTTCCTTCTGCTCCTCACGGCCTCTTTGGGGATCCCAGAGGCTCAAAGCTCTCCTTCTTGCTGTTGAAGAGAGGCAGAACGTAAGGGCACCAATCCAAACAGCTCTCCCACACGTGCCCTTGACCCAGTCAAAGGGATCTGTGTCATCACACACCTTACTTCACCTGGGGCTAATCTAGCCAGGAACAGAACTTCAAAATAAGGTTGTGCCCCATAATGTCCTAGTGTATGAATTCCCAAGGGAGTGTCCCTGTCTTTCCCACAACTTGTGGCCACTTTCTTTCCAGTCAGGCGGACTGAGTACCTGTTAGCAATCTAGTGCCCACTTCCTTCTTACGGAGGCCACTTTCCAGCCCCATGCCTCTTCCACTTGGTTAGATTAATATGCAAAAGGATGAAGCCAAGAGACTCACCAACTCCTGCAAATGAGAAACCAATGAATCACTGCCCCCCAACCCATTGAGGGCTTAGTTAATTTCACTTAAAACTCTAATAGAAGCCTGAAAACGTAGCTCGGCTGGTAGATGGCTTGTCTGGCATTCATGAAGCTATGGGTTCAACCCCCAGAATTGCATAAACCAAGTGTGGTGGACATCTGGAATCCCAGCACTCAGGAGGCTGAGGCATCAAGATCTGAAGCTCAATTCTCTCCTTTGCCTTATAGCCAGTAGAGTTCACAGAGGCTAGCCTGGGCTACATGATCTCTCAAAAACTGAACAAAAGAAAGGAAGGAGAAAAGAAAGGAAGGAGAGAGGGAAGGAGGAAAGATCCACAACTGTTTTTATTTTGGTTTGATTGTTTGAGACAAGATTTTTCTGTGTAACAGCTCTGACTGTCCTAGAACTCACTTTGTAGATGAGGCTGGCCCCTAACTCAGAGACCTACCTTCCTCTGCATCCCAAGTGCTGGGATTAAAGGCATGTGCCACACCACCTGGCCCACAACTATGTCTTAAAAAAAAAAAAAAGCCTTTGTTTTAAAGACATGAACTTTCTATGTCTGGAACTCATAGCCTTCAGAGTGCTGGGATCAAAGGCATGCGCCACCACATCCAGCTACAAATGTGTCTTATAAAATAAGATATAAAACATGATAAACGATGCATCCTGAACTAAAACTGTGAGTGATGAATTATTCACATTTAAGAACATGGAAACCTGGAACAATGTGAATTTAAAATGGCGTGTCGTCTCACTCATAGCTACAAATCCCTCCTGATAATTGTAAAAATGTAACCAAAATGTAAAAGAAAATACAAATGAGTTTTGTATTGCTTCTGGATAGAGAAAGACCACATAAGCATAAAAGCTCCAGGGAAACCACTAAGTACATAACTGCATAGCTAATTGGCACAACCTTAAAATTCTAAAAACAAAAAACAAACAAAAAACCCAGAAAATAAAAACCTGCACACTTGTGCAATTCCCTTCTTAATACATAGTCAGAACACTGGAGAAAAGTGTGCAAGAACATCCCTCCGTACTCTCAACTCTGTTTGGCTAGGGTGTTAGGGCTTGACATAAGGGACTCCATTTGGTTCTGACACCTCACACAGTTGCCTATCTTTTGGTCACCTTTTAATTTAAAACTTTTTATTAATTTATATATTTCCTTCATGTATCAGAGCTATTCACCAAGTATTAACCAACCATATATGGTGTTAGCAATATTTTTTTTGTTTCTCATTTAGTTTCTCATTTTAACTGTTACTTTTGATACGTAAAGGATCTTTTTAATTATATATTTGAATTGACAATAGTTCTTTATAGTTTCCTTTCACTATCATATCTTCTGCACTTTTTTTTCTTTTCTTTTTTGTCCAAGAAAGGGTTTTTCTGTGTAACCCTGGCTGACCTGGAACTCACTTTGTAGAGCCAGTTGGCCTGAAACTCAGAGAGATCTGCCTGCTTCTGCCTCTGGAGCACTTTATAGTCTGCCTTGTAAACTGAGTGTAGGGAATCACAAGTCTGAGGTCAGTTGGCTACGTAGTGAGTTCAAGGCCAGCCTGAGTTACTTAGCAATGACACTCATAAAGGTGTGCCTGCATCAACAGTGGAGTGAGGAAGTGTTGAAATAAAAGGTTGCAAGAATTCGTTTGGGATATTCTGAGATTTGTAGATTGGCTTGAGAATGTTCCTCTTTTCCACACTGGGTCTTCCCATCCCCTAAGACCTGCCTCCTGTGCACTCAAGCCCCCACCCACACAAGACAGACTCATAAAGACTTCCTTTCACTCTGTTCTGTTTTCTTTATCAGTTATGTATATTTTTAGACATTCTGTTTTACTTACGACATTGGGATAGAACATATGTTCTAATTGACACTGTTAATATGTAAAAGACTCTTTATTCTAAAAAATTTATTTTGTATCTGTGTTCTTTATTAAACTTTAGAATTTCTAAAAGTTTTTTAAATTATTCTCTTGGTAGACATTCATGTCATCCTCAAATGAAGCCATTTTGCCTATTTCTCTCCAGTCTCATCCTGTTTAACAAACTTCTGTTAAAAAAAAAAAAAACAAGGAATTCTCATTCTCTCTCTCTCTGTGTGTGTGTGTGTGTGTGTGTGTGTGTGTGTGTGTGTGTGTGTGTGTGTGTAGGAACACAGAGACCGGAAGGATGACACTGGGTGTCCTTCTCTATCACTCTCCACCTTATTCTCTTGAGGCAGGGTCTCTTGCTGAACGGAGCTAGGCTGGCAAGCAGCAAGCTCCTGCAGCCCACCTGTTTCTGCCCCACACATGCTGGGATTACAGGCACACTCACAGCCGTGCCTAGTTCTTCCATGTGGGGGCTAGGGATTTGAACTCTGGTCCTTGTGCTTGAACAGCAAGTGCTCTAACCTCCGAGCCATCTCCCCAGCACCAACAACAATCTGGTTCACTGTATTGACTAGCACGTTTAGAATACAGAAATATCAGGGATGTTTCAACGTGACTATCACACAGTATTGACTGAGATTTCCAGTTCATGGGCATGGTTTTACATACAACTTTTCGGTATTAAAATAATCAGTTGATTTTCAAATAAGGTTGAGTGCATGAACAGACTTTTTGTCTCTGCATTCCTAGAGTGAATTTCACCTGATGGTGGTACTTTCTTTAAAGTATGTGGCTAGCTTGTCAATACATTGTCTCATATTCTTCATCACGCCTTTACGTAAGATTGGGATTCAGGGCTTGTATGTGGTTTTGCTGTCTCTCCTCTCTTGGGACAGTTTGTGCTGTGTGACTTGTTTTAGGAAGATGCTTGTGTTGATTTAATCCCCTTTATTTCTAGTCTCATATTTCAGGATTTCAGTTGCTCGTGGTCAAAAAAAGACGAGTGAGTCTAATACAGTAAAAGATTTCGGGAAAGACCATGGTCACATGACTTTCATTACATTCAGTAGACTTATAGTTGTTCAATTGTACCTTGTCACTGTTGTCAATCTCCTATGCCTGATTTATCAGCTCTGTCACAGATACCTCTGCACAGGAAGTCACATCCACAAGAGTCATTACTCTGTAGCTTCAGGTTTCCATGTATTCAGTCTTTGCCTTTCTATGCAGAGAGTGGGAAACACAAAAACAAAAAAAAACACTTTATAATAGTAACACTAGTGAGCTAGGTGATGGAAACCCTGGTAGTTTTTCTTCCCCTCATTTTTATAATGTTATTTTTATAGCAAAATGTTTCAAATATATACCATTAAAAGAGACTTCTGGAGGGTGAGAGAGGCAGCCCAGCCATTAAAGGCTCACAAACCAAAAGCGACTTTTAGAGAAATTAATAGTGACCACCGCGAAGGGGAAATGAGGTACACTTCCTGTTCTTTGTCCTCTCGTAAATCTCTTCAGCCATCGGCACTTCCCCTCTCTGTCTATACTCCACCCATACTGCTAAAAATAAAAATATGCTTGTTTACATAAAATATAATTACCTCCTTCACCGCCTTAAACCCAGGACTCCTCAGACCGTAAGCCATGACAAACAGATACAAATTGTTCTCAGGCTACATACAACAAACAAGAAATTCTGTGTGTGAAGTGGAGTCAAGCTGAAGACTTGTGGCTCTGAGTACCAGGGGTGTAGAAACTTGTCAGATGCAAGCCATGGAAGCCAGGCTTTTGCTGAAACGAAAGCAGACAATGTGTCGAAATTTCTTCAAAACTACAAGATCCCTTTTTTTTTTTTTTTTTTGAGACAGGGTCTTGCTGTGTAACTCAAACTAGACTTGAACTCATGATCCTCCATCCTCAACCTCCTGTGTACTAGAATTACAGACATGTGCCACCATGAGGGACCGAAGGAAATCTCACTTCTATAGAAAGATGCCCTTGGGTATTGAGTGGGACCAGAGGGACTTTCAACATTCTGGAGTGACATATGATGCCCCTGTCTTCACACAATGCACCAGGCATGGATACTGAATACTGTCTCTCTCTTCCCAAGTCTCCTCAGTGCTGAGGATACTAACTTTCTTGAAATCATTAGAAAACATATTGAAATTGTGAATAAGAAAAGCCAGGTTTCCTTCATCCCAGTGATGAAGGATATGCTGGGAAGGTACTCAGACTCCTAAAGATATTCCATCAGCCCAACATGGAGCCGCGTTGATGCCTGAAAAAGAAAAAAAAAAAAAATCTGTGTTTCTCTCTGTCCCCAAAGGCTGTCACAGCTTGTCAGCTCCTTACTGTGGGGCCTGCAACAAGATTTACAGCACATTTTTTTTTTCTTCTAGGGAATTCACACTGTAAAGGAGAGATCAAATTTCCCCATTTTTCCCATGTATGTATGGTGTATGTGTGTGTATGCACATTTGTATGTGGGTGGGTGTGTACCTGTGTACACATACATGTGGAGGCTTTTTCACCTTATTCATTGAGGCAGGGTCTCCAGTCAAACCCAGAGCTCACTCATAGGGCTAGTGTTGCTAGGCAACTTTCTCTAGGGATCCCATCTCTGTCTTCCAAGGTCCCCACACTCACCTGGCATTTATGTGAGTTCTAGGAATAGAAACCCCAGTCCTTGTGCTGTGTGCCACAAGGTTAATCCCTTAGCTTTCTCTCCAGGCCAAGAACAAGAAAATTCAAAAATACTGGACTGATGGGGCTGGAGAGATGGCTCAGAGGTTAAGAGTACTGGTAGCTCTTCCAGAGGTCCTGAGTTCAATTCCCAGCACCCACCTGACAGCTCACAGTTGCCTATAACTGTATTTCCCATGGATCTGATGGCTTCTTCTGGTGTACAAAACACCCATGGACCATAATATCACCACATTCCCCCAGAACCTGGCCTGGTCTTGTTTAAATCACGTATGTTGGGGGGCGGGGAACTCTGTGACCACCACAGCCAGCAGAGTAATGAATGATCTGCCGGAAGCAAGAAGGAAGTTTGGTTTTGATGAAAATATTGCTGGTGGTAATTAACTCAATCCCACGTGGCAAACAAAGCTTAAGACACGACTGCACTGAAACTTTTTGTAAGTACATATGACATTTCCCATAAAGATGGGTTCTATAGCTTGACTGCATGTGACACCTTGTATAAAGATAATTCCGATAGATGGACAAGCTCACAATAAGGGCCTGGGGGAGGACCCAGTGTGGTCTTGGCCACACCGCACAGAAGGTCACTAAGCTATTAAAAGTAACGTCCACACCCGGCCTTATGGGCAGTTAACTGGTACACATCCCTTCCTTTGAAGGAACATTCCTGGTTCCCCTATGCTTATCTGCGAACACAAGGACTTCTATGCCTCCCACAACATCCTGCTAGGAACAGGGGTCTCATGCTTGCAATCCCCGCACTTAGGAGGCTGAGGCAGGAGAAGTTCAAGGCCAGCCTGGGCTACATAATGAGTTCTAAACCAATCTGAGCTACAGAGTGCAACCCTGTTCCCTCCAAAAACTTTAAATTATATGTTCCTTTTTAAAGATTACAGACAATAAGAATCAGTAAGAATCAAGATCAGTTATTTTTATTTAGTTCTTAATTATTATTTTATATGTGTAGGTGTTTTACATCTATACAAGTCTAGACACCACAAGCATGCCTGGTGCTCACTGAGGTCAGAAGAGGGCATCAGTTCCTCTGGTACTGGAGTTACAGAGAGTTGTGAGCCACCATGTGGGTGCTGGGACTCAAACCAGGTCTTCTGGAAGAGCAGCCAATGCTCTTAACTGCTGAATCAACTCCCCAGCCCAAGACTACAATTTTAAAGCAAGTCTATGTTGATACTGAGGTACTGAGATTTCCCATATGTCCCTTGCCCCCCCCCTTTCATAGCCTCCCCAACACAGCATTCTCATCAGGCTGATATATTTGTTGCCATTGATGAACTCATACCAACACGGCAATGTCTCTCATTGTCCTCCATTTACATTGTGAAGGCCTAGACTTGACTTTACAGGCTCCATCTTAGGGGAAGGGCCACCATCTCAGACCACCTGCTATACTCAGTTCCAGGAAGGACCTCAGGAATGTGCCATGACAACTTGAACAGATACAGAGCAGTATGCTCCTGAAGACATTTTGTCTGTGGTTTACGGCCCTTGAAAATATCTAGATAATCCTGCTGAGCAGTCCAGATAATCCTGTTCAGCGGGTTGTGGTTCCCTGCCAAAAGTCTAACCCAATGGTTTCAAATGTGTCTTCAAGCCCAAAGTCTAGACCAATAGTTTCAAAAAATCACCTTGCCCCATATCCCTTCTACCCAATCCCAAGCATGTAATTCCCAGCTTGTAGTTTTTCCCTATAAAAACTCTCTATACCTGGGTTCGTGGCCGCCGCCACATTTCCTTCCAACTGCCATGTGATAGCCCAGGTTGAACCTGAATATAAGGACCCTTATGTGCTTGCATCAGAAACCGGCTCCTTGGTGGTCTCTGGGGGTTTTGAGAAATGGGTACAACAACATGAGACTTTGTTCAAGGTGTTCCATATTCTACACATCTGGACAAATTCATAAGGTCATATGGCGCTGTTACAGTCTCACATGGAGTCTTCTACCATCTCAGTTCACTCACCCACATGCCAATTGTTACCTGGAAACACCCTCATAGTCACACCTAGAAGAACATTGCGTCATCTTCCTATGGGTCTTTTAATCCATTCCCACCCAACCTGCACGGCTTAGGTCCCATCACCGTGGCTAGGAACGACAAGGTAATGAAGAAGGGACACACACACACACACACACACACACACACAGTGAAGCTGGGATCAGGTGGGTTCTCAAAGGACACACACACACACACACACACCCAGGGAAGCCGGGATCAGATGGGGTTCTCAAAGGACACACACACACACACACACACACACACACACACACACACACATACACACACACACACACACACACGCACAGTGAAGCTGAGATCAGGTGGGTTCTCAAAGGACACACACACACACACACACACACACACACCCAGGGAAGCCAGGATCAGGTGAGGTTTTCAAAGGACACACACACACACACACACACACACACACACACAGTGAAGCTCCAGGTCTGCAACCTGTAACCTCAATGTGTTTATTAGATACAGCACCTGGGCAAAGGTTAACTAGTCTCCCTAGGAGGTCTCTGTAGCCAGCATCTCAGGCTGTAAACATCCAGTAGAAGGAAGTCACAGTTCCTAATCTTTGCAGCCCTGGACCAGTCATCCGTAAGCACTCATACTCGGAGCCTAAGAAAAGCTTTGCCACTTCTCTTGAGCCTGGGCCATATCAGTAATGGCTTTGCCAAATATCCATGGGTCCAAGGACTTGGGCTTTCTTGACATGGCTGTGCCCATGTCAAAACACACATTCACTCAGCACTTCACTCACTCATGGCTTCCTCTGCTCCCTATATCAGTCAAGGTGACAAGAAGATGCCCAAAAGAGGGCTGAGGTCCTGCAGGGTGCTGGACTCAGGAACCTTGCTGGTCCTAACTGGAGCTCTGTTCACACACAGCATCACTTGCCTGTTAACATCTACCTTCCCAGCAGTTACAGAGAGCTTTCGTGGAGACTTCAAACTGTTCCCTAGGGAACTTTTCAGCCAGTGATGTTGAGTACCCTTCCACACTTGAACTGAGTGATTCTAAGGAAATGTGTTGAAATGGGTTTTTTTGGTCTTTTTTTCTTGACAGTGCTGGGGACAGAATCTGGGGCTTTGAACATACTAGGCAAGTACTCTTCCACTGAGCTTTGTCCCCAGCCCTTGGGTTGGCGGCTAGTTGGTTTGACTCTTGTTATACAGCCCAGGGTAGCCTCAGACTCGTGGATCTTCCTGCTTGTACCTCTCAAGTGCTGGGATTATAGGTGTGCACTATCACACTAGGCTCTAAGAACTTAACACCGACTTGGTGTCCCTCTCCTATAACGGAAGAAAAGCAGACAAAGTGACATGGGTTCATGGATATATTTAAGACGGCACCTCAGAGACCTACTAAACCAAAAGGAAAGGGCACCGCCTCTGGGACAGGCCAAAGCTTACCCATGCAGCGCACAGGCACTTGCTGTGACCAGTGACACCAAAACAGGAGTACAGCAGGGTGGCTGCACCCCCGCTTTTCCCCAGCGGGTGATGGCTTGCCTCCTGTCCCCTACAGCAGTCTGGTGGCAGATGGCAGCCTGTCACAGGAGAGGGCTGAGCTGTCTCGGGTGACCACTTCCCCCTCCCACAGCAGAGGCCCTCTGCCAAGGGGAAGTGTCTGGAAGTCCCCACCCACAATTCTCAACTAAGTCTGAGCTGCGGCGGTGCATCTGGACAGACTGGCGGATGCTGAGGTGATACAGTTACAGCGACATGAAACATGCCAAGTCGGGGTGAGAGAGGACGCAACAGTGACAGATCTGGGGAGATCTGCAACTCCAAATTGAAACAAGTCCCCTGCTGGCGGCTCACACTCCAGCTGTGACTGAGCGGCTGAGGTCCGTGGGCTCAGGCCTCTACAGAGCACATCACACTCCTGCGAGGCTCTGCGAGGGAGAGCAGGGATGTGACTGAACCATGTGGGTGGATGGGGAACCTCTCCCTCCAGTAGTTCAGCTGTCTCTGTCCCTAAGCAGGGACTAAGGATTAGGTGGGACTTTAGAGAGGTTACAGAGCAGCATGATAAGAAGAAAGAGACAGGGA